CAGTGCGTGTGGGGCTCCTTCGCTGATCCAAAAGCCTTATAAAACTAATCCAGTTAAACCGAACTAGTCTAGTTAGACTGAACCAGGTTGAACTAAGTCAACTCGACTGAGTTCACTCTATCGATTCAACCTGATTGAGTCAACTCGAATAGAGTCAACTCGTTGACCTGGCCGTTAACTTTGACCAATGTTGACTTTGGAATAAAAGTCAATTTTTTTGAAAAGTCATAATTTATGTTTTTCAACATTCTGAGTCTGAATCCAAAGTCTGTTTTGTCAAATTCGAACCCGAAAGCCTTTGAATTTACCGTCAAACCCGAGCATGCATATGTACTTAAGTGTTTCATTTAAGAATAATTAAATTAAGGTTAATGACTGGTCTAAGATATTGTTATTTGAAGGTACATAAGATTTTTCTGATCGTTCGACAACTCGACCTAGCTCCTCTTGATCTGTTTGACCTCGCGAGCCAGTGATTACTCGTAGGACTCATGAACCTTATGAATACTTAGATTAAAATTTTACTTCGATATTAACTCCGTTTATTATGAATTAGGTTCAAGTACTGATATAGAACGTGGTGAGGTAGGTGCTCAGTAGACTGACGACTGATTCCTTTTTGCTAGGTGTGTTCCCTATGTGATATATGATTGTTTTATTTGTTTTGAAATGTGATTTATCGACATTACTGATTTACTAATTTACGGGTTGATTGTTTATGAACCATGACTATCTGATACTTGCTATCTAATTACTTGTTTTCATTGAAAGATATGATTATGTCGATTTATGGATCATTGAATTCACTGCTTACTATGTGAATTGTTTTATTGAGATACTGTTTTTGGGTAGGATACTGGAGTATGGAGGTTCAACTCTGATCAATCTGGTAATTCTTACGGACCTAAGGCGACTCTTGGTTAGACTCTGAGACCCCGAGAACTTTCTTAGGTATGCTCTCAGGCCCCAAGACGTTCCCTTAGGTTGGTTCATATACCCAATGGGTATAAGGTAAGCCCTTATAGATGTAGTTCTGGGGAACTGCATTTTACTGTATGGGAGAGGGTAATTATGAGTGTTAGAATTTAAACTTCACTATGATTTTTATGATATTTTATTGAATTATTTCTTTATTATTTTACCCATTATGTTTTACTTGCACAATTGAACACACTAAGCTCCCTAGCTCATCTTTTTAAACTTTTCCCCCTTTCAGATACTTTTGGATAAGCACCCTAGACCTGGTATTTGGTGGATCGACACATTCGTACAGAACATTTTTTTTGTAATCTTTTTATCTTCTGAACTGCTTTTATTTACGAGGACATGTGTCTTTATTTTGAAATACTTATTTTTATGACGATTACTGCTTTTGTTACTGATGCTAGATTTACTGTGATATGTATTATGACGTATTTTATTTTACACATCACTTATGGTTTAATATTTACTCGTTGGATTTTTATAGTTATTAACTATTTTTTTAAAGAAGTTATTTATAACGTGGATTTAAATTATAGAAGACTGTTTGAAATATTTTTTGGAAATTTTCATTGTAATCCGTTAGATCTAGTCGTAACGCATAGGCTAGGTCTAGGGGGTTACACAACGAGATAACAAATGGATGTCATCTTGATCAGCTGTGACGACACTAAATCCAATATATAGAAAAATAAACGACAAGAACGACCTAATGACTAAAAAGAAAATAAAAAATATCAAAAAAAATGTATCATAAAGACAAAAAATCTTTTCATAAAGATAAAATTTATTAGAAACAAAAGAAAAATAAAAATACGAGATAAGAAAATAAATAAATATTAATGATGACAACTAACATTAAGACTGATATAATCATTTATCAACTAAAGAAAATAAAGCTGCAAGAAAAGGTTTGGAGAAGAGGAGCGGCTAACATGAGTTTAAATTAAGTTTTTTCTGTTTTTTCAATACAAATTTATACATTCACATTTTTATATATTATGCTATCAATTTTATGATTCAAATTTCCAATTTAAATAATAATTTTTTATCAATCATTAAATAAAACTATATCAACATCAAATATATAATAATTATAATTCATATGAAAAATAGATGAAAGAGTAATTTGTATGTCATATTAATTTAATATTAATTATTTTGAAAAGAAAATTTTAATTATTTTAAGGCTAAATTAAATTATAGATTTTTTTATTAGTATAACATGATTATAATATAATACATATTCATAATTTTTTTATAATCATTAATAACAAACATACCCTACAAATACAACTACTCGAACTAAATATCTTAAGAATATCATTTTTTAACCACTAACACCACACATAAGTTTAAAAGCTAGCCCAAAGTTTCATGTTTGTTTCTTATATGATAAATGAAAATAAAAATGGAAAGAGAAAGATAAATGGGATAATGAATACAGGTGAGGTCAGGTGCAGGCAGCTAACTTCAGGTTAGCTAAAATTAAAGTAAAACCTTGTTTTAATTAAGTATTTGCTTTCTGTCACAATGATAATCGGATGGTTCGAGATCGAATTTTGACTTAAAGTAAAAAATTATTTTTTGAAATCATCACTAATCTTTTTAGATTAAGTAAGATCGGATACTTAAATTTTATCTCTTACCGAATCTACAAATTTTACTTGAATTTAATTGAATATGAATCCCAAATTTTCAAAATACCAATTCAAATGATCAATCATCTGATCCCATTTAATTCATTCTAACTTCTGAGGGTACAGTTGGTCGGTCAAAGGCAAAAACGTTGACTTTTGATCATTTTAAAGTAATATAAAACTTCTAGCTAAAAAACACAACCAGGCTGTATCTAATTCTCGAAAATATTTTTTATTTTTTATCTTCTATTTTCATTTTTAATTTTTTAGAAATTGCAAAATGTATTTGATAAATAGAAATATTTTTTCAATAAAAAACATGAAACAATGGAACTTTAAAATAAAATATTCTTACATTTAAATGGATTTAAACCAAGGTGAGTAATTTGATATTAGAAATAATATTTCACCCAGTTATCACTAAACTCAATAACACAAGCACGAAAAATTTATATTATAATAGAAATATGAAAAATAAAATAAAATATTCTTCCATTTGTATGGATTTAAACCATGGTGAGCAATTTGATATTTAAAGATCATTTGAGGTTTTAGAGGATATAAGGTTCAAGAGCTTCCTCTAATGGTTCCATTCGAATTTTGTAGTTTTAGTTATTGTTTAACAAGTTAAATCATTATTTTTATGTAAGATTTATTTTTTGTGGTTTTTAATTAGCAGAAGAGTGGTTGAGCCCTTCAAGAGATAGGCAAGGAGAAATTGGTTGTAAGGTGATCTAGAAAAGTACTTTGGTTGCTTGGAAGCTGAGGTGACATCTTATAACTCTTCCCTATGAGTTGTATATCATTACATTTAGTTTTGTTTGCTTGTACGGGGTGTGAAAACATGTTGCGGTGACATGAGTGCTTGTGAAATCATGTCGATATCTAGATATTATATTTGTGTAAAAATGATCTTAAATGACCCTTGAAGCTTCCATAAGCTTTAGTAATCATTATGAGACTTAAAATAGTGTTTAAGATGAGCTTTAGGATGATTTCCGAGTACAACAAGATAATTTTAGGTTTGAGTATCGATACTAATTCATTTGGTATTGATATTGTTCTTCAAATGGTAAAAATTTAGGTTTTATAAGGAAGAGTATCAATGTATGTTCTTAGAGTATCTATATTGTTTCTCTGATGTTGATACCGAGGGTTCTATATCGATATCAGGGTATTTTTAGGAGACCTCGAGGCTAGAAATGGTATCAATAATCAAGTGAACACTATTTCTCCCAATAAATTTATAAAACAATGGTCAATATTTTTTTTCCAAAAAAATTCATTTCATTAATTAAAAATTCAGTTTTCAAGGATTTACATTTTAAATTTAAATTCATATTCGTGATTTTTTAACATTGTGAGGCTGCTTTAACCTTCCTCAATCGTAAATAATTTTTGAATCCGATATTTTTCTCTGATTTTAAACAAATGTCTATTAAAATTGTCTCTTTTAAGAAAATTGATTTACAAATATATTTTAAGATCATTTTTAGAGTATTGGTCACACTTAACTCGAAATGGTCGATATTGATTTCATTTTCAAATACATATCCGCATTTTTAAAAAAAATATCAACTTAAAAATAGTTACAATATATTTTTTTAAAAGAAATAACTAAAATAAAAGGTTTAAAAACTGAAATTTTGAATTTTTCCTATGTTTAAAATTGCCATGATTGAAATTCAATCAACAAAAGTAAGAAATTAATTATATATCAAGAGTATATAAATATGAATTTAGGTTTGATTGGTAGTGGCCGGCGGTATAAGAGGAAGGGTTTTCCAAGTTGATGGCAGTCGGCTGGTCATTGGATTCATTATTTATTATTACTTTGAATTTCAACAATTTGATATCCCAACTTCCACGTCAACCCATTTTGTTTGTTTCTGTATGTTCCACTACCTAGTCCACACTCCGCTCCCTTTGATCACATCAAATTAATGAAATTCACTGATTAGTATAATAATTTCATGTATCCTTTTTTGATTAATCACTAGTATTTGATTTATTGATCGATTAATTTAGATCGGGTTTTACAAAGATCCATTATGTGAGCGATTTTTTCAACTCAATTTGCTTCTTTTACAAACATCAGAGTTCGAACCTCTATCTTGCTTGAGAAATTTAGTATATTGTCTTATGCCAATTTGTTATCGGTTCGTATCCTTTTGTTAACTTCTCCAATCAGTTAATATTCAGCATTTCAAACCCACGTTAAACAAGAAACACGAATTGAAAATTTGTTTTGTGTAACACATGCAAATAGCCAACTTTGCACGTTAATTAGCTTAAAGCTAACATGTTCTTTTCCCCAAACTCTCTACTATCAAACCAGAAACAGTGGGCGGACCTTTTTTTTTTTGGGCTCAGCAAAATTTATTTCATTAAGGATTTGAGGAAGCAAAATTTGTTTTGCCACCACGCTTTAAACAAATTCTGACGCTGCATACCTTGTTTTGCCAGCTGATCCGCCATTCCATTACCTTCTCTGGGCACATACTCAAACCTCACCTCTGTATATTGACTGCGAATCTTATCAATCTCCTCGAAACAGTCCCACCATCTCCATGGCCTCGAAGAAATATTTTCGACCCACTTCAAAACCTCTTGGGAGTCTGATTCGAACGACAGTCGAAAACTATAGCCCCAACCCGTTTCCAAAAATAGCGAGAGTGCAACCATAACTGCTACCAATTCAGAAAAATCCGCACAAATCTGGTCCACCGGTCCAGAAAACAACGCTACAATATCACCATTATGGGTTCTCAAAACGCCTCCACAGCCCGCTGCCGAATCTTTAAAAGCTCCATCCACGTTAAATTTCAGATTTCCCACTGCTGGAGGACACCACACAACCGGAGAGGATTTCGCCAATGAACAACCACGTGGATTATTCCACCAGTCAGCATCACACAACAAGTCATTTTCTTTAATTGCTTTGATCCAAATAAGAGTCCTCATCTTGACAGTAAACAATAGATCCTTTTGCGAAATAGCTTTATTATCAAACACCAGCTCGTTGCTAGCCAACCACACACTCCATAAGGCCGCAGATACTGTGATTAACCAAACTGATTTTGACAATCCTACGAAGGATCTTGAAAAACAGAATTTAAAAAATGACTCAAAGTTCCCCGGTGCAGACCATGCCAATAGCCACCACTTGTAAAAGTTCATCCAAAAGCACCTGGCAAATCTGCAATCAATAAAAAGATGAAAATCTGTTTCCATACCCATTTTGCACCACGGACAACAGCTCGAAGCCTCATCGAATTTCGCCCCTCTTGAAGCAAGGAAGTCCTTAGTTGGTAATCGACCAATTTCAGCATCCACAGGAAGCTTTTAACTTTGGGCGGTACTTTTAATTTCCAAATCTAATCGAAATCGAAGTTCGGGATCGGAATATTTTCATTGACCAGCAGCTCCGACAGCTTCCCCACTGAGAATCGACCCGCTTGGTCATGTAACCAAATCAAAGTGTCCGTTTTCGAGCTCACTAAACTCTCCCCCTTGATCAGCAATTTTAATACTTCCACAACTTCTCGTTCTCTATCAAATAAGGGCCTAGAAAACAAGGACGACCAATTGATCAAATCCAATTCTCCCCGATCAGCAATCGAAGCAATAGTAGAACCTTTGCAATTTTCTAATCTGTATAGTCTTGGAAAAATTACAGAAAATGGATTTTCCCCACACCAAGTGTCTCCCCAAAAGAAAATTGAACTACCATCACCCAATTTCCAACGAAACGCTCCCCTGCTCATCCACTTCTCAACCTCTACATACTAAAGGTTTTTAACAATCCCTTTCCATATCACCGAGCAGTTCCTCGATCTTTCCGATACTGCTACCCACTGCTTAATAGATTGCCCATACTTCGCTTCAACAACTCTTCCTCAAAGTGCCTCTTTCTCTACAGAAAATATCCAACTCCATTTTGCAAGAAGAGCTTTGTTTTTCACTTTTAAATTCACAATGCCAACACCTTTTTTCTTTGGCAAACACAACTTCCCCCAACTTACTCTGATTAACTTTTTTTCACCTGCTCAACTATCCCATAGAAAATTCCTTCTTACCTTGTCAGGTTTGAACAAGATTAACGGAGGTGACGATAAAACAGAGTTGACAAAATAACTCTTCCTGCAAAGGAGAGCGATCGGTATTTCCACCTCGAAAGTTTACTCCTGAATCTTGCCACCAAGGGATCCCACGTTGATAATCTTCTCGATCAGCCCCTAACGGTATGCCCAAGTAATTGAAAGGCAACGAACCAATTTTACAGCCACAAACTATCGCTAGTCGATTAAAGAGTTCCACATCCACATTTATGCCAACCAAACAAGACTTGCTGAAATTTATACTAAGACCCGAGCACACCTCAAAACATCTAAGAATTCACTTCAAGTTCAAGATTTGAGATTCACCCGGCCGAAGAAACAGAATTGTGTCATCTGCAAATTGTAGATGCGAAATTGAGAAATCTGGTAAGACTCCATGGATGCCTTCAATCCTGCCCAGAAGCTCGGCATTGTTAATAAGAAGATGTAAAGCTTCTGCTACCATAATTAAAAGAAATGGAGATAGGGGATCTCCCTGTCTCAAGCCTCTGCGCATTGAAAATTCCTTAGTAGGTGAGCCGTTCAGGAGAATCGAGACTTTCGCAGTCGAGATACAGCCAAAAATCCACTCGCGCCACTTTTTTTTCAAAGCCCATTCGCTCTAACACCATAATCAAGAATTCCCAACGGACACAACCATACGCTTTGGAGAAATCAAGCTTCAAGATTATACCACCTCGGTCACCATCTTCGTGTTTTAAAGAGTGAATCATTTCGTTTGCTATTAGGTTGCTATCACAGATTTGTCTACCTTTAATGAATGCACTCTGCGTCTCACTTATGACATTCTCCAACACTCTTCATATTCTTTTGGATAGAATTTTCAACACAATCTTATATATTGAGCTGATTAGGCTTATCGGCCTGAAATAGGAGATACTCGAAGGCGTCTCACATTTTGGAATTAGTGCAATAAAAGATGAATTTGCATTCTCCGGTAAAGTCCCTGATGTATAGAATTTCTCCATAATCTCTGTTGAACCGTCTTTCGGTTGGGCTCTAGAATTGGGCTTCGACTTGGATTAAATGGATTGGAGTCGCCACCGATCATTTACTTTACGAAAAGTGGGTTGATCGGATACCTTATTTCTTACCTGATCTGCGTTTTACCAGAGACGTGTCGGGTTCGGGAGTCGGTTACGGTCAAGGAAGGATTAGCACCCTTGAACCGCCCTTTCGGTACCAATTAATTTGCCTATTGTCTTTATTTGCAAAAATTAAAATTAAAATTAAAATTCAAAAATTTAATTAGAATTACTTACTTTTGACTGATCAGAATTCTTCTAAAAGAGTCGAAAGTGTTAGATAAAAAATATTAAATAATTATTAAATAAATCAGAGAAAAACATAAAAAAATGAAAAAAATAAAATATTAAATTAAATGGAAATAATAATAATAAATGAATAAACAAATTAAAGACAAAAGTAAATTTGATGGGAAAGTGGACCCATATGTGAAAGCTGGAAACAAAAATAACTTTAAAAAAACAAATAAATTGTCGGTCCAAGGCACGTCATTTTACTTCTAAAACTAATAGAACTAATTCTTACAAACACATTGCACTTGTAAAATTAACTTTAAAAAAGAAAATCAATAACATTGAATAATTAAATATAATCTTACCCCTCACTGACCAAGTTCAATGCCCGGTTCACCAAGACAGTTTATGAGAGGCCCAGTTTATTAAGAACGGATGTAGAGGATCATATGGATGTTCCACGTTACCTTTAAAATTTAAGGTAGTCAAAATCATTTGCTCTGCCTCGGCCACGCGTTCCCGATACTGCTCAAACCAATCAACAGGGAGCAAATAAGATAAGAATTTATCCTGCTTATAGAGTATTTCACAAGCAGTTCTCAACACATCGTTCAAAGGGCGAGGCGTCTCCTCAGACTTTGCAACAAGGGAAAAAAATAGCAGTGGATTTGTAGAGCGGTAGTGACCATGGCTGCCCAAGTGAAGGCCCCAAACAGCCTGAACGATGCACGACAGTGGCCACCCATGGCCGTTGAAGGTGATACACGACCTTCCAGCCCAACCCAGTCCTCGAAGATGAAACCCCCGACCAAGAAAGCGGCTAAAATGGCTTTGGACTCACGGTTTACTTACCAAACGACCAGGAACGACAACACCACAACAGCCCGAGAGTGGGGGTTGCGTCGCGAGACCTTTTTGCGAAGACCGACAACCTTGCACCGTCGACCGACCCTCTCCTAATCTTATTTTTCTCTCGTCACTGGTTTTTTTAGGAATTTACTCCTCCCAAACTCCAAAAACTCTTCCAACAAATTAAGAGCACATAGAGCTGCAAATCCTATTCCCGTATTTTTCCAGTGCTCACATGTATCTCTCGTGTCCCCATTTTTTGAATCCCCATTTTTTTCCTTCCATTCTCTGTGTATTTATAGTGCTAATTCGGTTTTAGACTCCCGTTAGGACTAAAACTCTTGCTTTGCTTGTGGCGAGGATTCCGGTGACGTGGATGGAGACGTGAGGCGAGAGGAGTCTTCGGGTTAACCGTGGAACTCGACTGGCAGTTCCCCCTTGCATGTTGGCTGCAACGCTGAAGATGTAGAAGACTAGGGTTTCTGTTGGGCCATTGTGTACAGGGCCTTGGAGTTTAAACTCATTTGTAGTATTGAACCTGAAAAATAAAATAGCAAATGAATAATAATATATAATGATATAGTATAATAACATGTATATAAAATATAAAGTCGGACGAAAATGCATGTCGACAGCTGCCCCTCTTTGACCTTTTTCGTGGAACGAAAAATAGGAAAAAGATAAAAGACAAATTTTCGACCATATCTAATATCCTCTGTCGCAGAGTTGAAATCCGATATTTGATTGGTTTGTCAAATTGAACTGAAATATGGAATGACTCCCTCGTCGTGAGGTCGAATTGAACTGGAAGCTTTTGAGCACAACATCCTTCGTCGTAAAGTTGAAATCGAACTCAAAAACCATTGGCAAGTAGCCTCTGAATCGTCTTCTTGCTCAAGATACTTCATCGTGAAGGTGAAACCTGACTTGAAGACTTCTGTGTTGATGTGTTATAGATGACTCCTTTGGGTCAATCTGTTTGTGAAGTTGGAATCCCCTTCGTCGTGAAGTTGAGCCTTGGATTTGGATATCCTTCGTCGTAAAGTTGAAATCCAATGTAAGTTGCGTTGTTTCGAGGCCAATATCCTTCGCTGTGAAGTTGAAATTGACTCTGAAACTGAAAAGTGTGTTGACAGACACTTCTTCTTTGAGTTGAATATCCTTCGTCGTGAAGTTGAAATCCAATCTAGAAATGGATGTTGCTTGTGTGCACGATTCCCTTCGTTGTGAAGTTGAAACCGTTGGTGACCCCTTCGTCGTGAAGTTGAGTCTGGAATTGGATATCCCTCGTCATGAAGTTGAACATGCGTTGTCTGGAGTCCAATATCCTTCGCTGTGAAGTTGAAATTGGCTCTAAAATTGGGAAGTTATTTATTGACAACCAGCGGTCCCTTCGTCGTGAAGTTGAACTTGCGTTGTCTGGAGTCCAATATCCTTCGTTGTGAAGTTGAAATTGGCTCTGAAATTGAGAAGTTGTTTGTTGACAACCAGCGGTCCCTTCGTCGTGAAGTTGAACATGCGTTGTCTGGAGTCCAATATCCTTCATTGTGAAATTTTAAATTGGCTCTGAAATTGAGAAGTTGTTTGTTGACAACCAGCGGTCCCTTCATCGTGAAGTTGAACATGCGTTGTCTGGAGTCCAATATCCTTCGCTGTGAAGTTGAAATTGGCTCTGAAATTGAGAAGTTGTTTTTTGACAACCAGCGGTCCCTTCGTCGTGAAGTTGAACATGCGTTGTCTGGAGTCCAATATCCTTCGCTGTGAAGTTGAAATTGGCTCTGAAATTGAGGAGTTGTTTGTTGACAACCAGCGGTCCCTTCGTCGTGAAGTTGAACATGTGTTGTCTGGAGTCCAATATCCTTCGCTGTGAAGTTGAAATTGGCTCTGAAATTGGGAAGTTGTTTATTGACAACCAGCGGTCCCTTCGTCGTGAAGTTGAACTTGCGTTGTCTGGAGTCCAATATCCTTCGTTGTGAAGTTGAAATTGGCTCTAAAATTGAGAAGTTGTTTATTGACAACCAGCGGTCCCTTCGTCGTAAAGTT